ATAAAATCCAGCATGTCTTTATGATAAAAACTCTCAGCAAAATAGGCATAGAAGGGACTTACCTCAAAGTAATAAAAGCTGTATATGACAAACCCACAACCAGCATCATGCTGAATGAGAAAAATCGAAAACATTTCCCTTGAGAACTAGAACAAGACAAGGATGTCCACTTTCATTACGTTTATTCAGCATAGTACTAGAAGTCCTAGCCAGAGCAATCAGATAAAAGAAAGAAATAAAGGGCATCCAAAAGAGTAAGTCAAAGTACTCTTAGAAAAGAGTAAGTCAAATGGTCTCTGCCAATGATATGATCGTATGCCTAGAAAACCCTAAAGACTCATTCAGAAAGCTCTTAGATCTGATAAACAAATTCAGTAAAGTCTCAGGATACGAAATCAGTGTATACAGATCAGTAGCACTGCTGTACCCTAACAACAACAAAAATGAGAATCAAATGAAGAACTCAGTTCCTTTTATAACAGCTGCAAAAAAAAAAAAAAAAACCCACAAAAACCACAAAAAGCCACACACATACAACCTCCCCCCCCCAAAAAAAAACAACCACCACCACCACCACAAAAAAACATAAGCATATACTTAACCAAGGAGGTGAAAGAGCTCTATAAGGAAAACCACAAAACAATGCTGGAAGAAACCACAGATGACACAAACAAATGAAAACAAATTCCATGTTCAAGAATGGGAAGAATCGATATTGTGAAAATGAACATAATGCCCAAAGCAGTCTACAGATTCAACACAATTCCTATCAAAATACCATCATACTTCTTCACCAAACTAGAAAAAACAATCCTGAAATTCTTATGAAACCAAATAAGAGTCCACATAGCAAAACCAATATTAAGCAAAAAGAGCAAATCTGAAGGCATCATATTATCCAACTTCAAATTATACTACAAGGCTATAGTCACCCAAACAGCATGGTAATGGTATAAAAACAGGCACATAGACCAATGAAACAGTATAGAAAACCCAAAAATAAAGCCAAATTTACAGTGGACTGATAATTGACAAAGCATACAAAAACATGAATCAAGTAAAGGACACCCTATTCAATTGATGGGGCTGGGAAAACTGGCAAGCCATATGTAGAAGAATAAAATTGGATCCCCTTCTCTTGCCTTATACAAAAATAAGCTCAAAATGGATCAAAGACTTAAATCTAAAACCTGAAACCGTAACCAAAACCACCGTACCCAAAAAACTATTGAATTTTTTTTAAAAATTAAAAAAAGGTTGAAGGCTTTAATATTCCTAAACAAATTACATACTATATTATCATTCTTGACACAGCTTTTTGAAATTTATTCATTCACCCTTTTTTTTTGGTGCTATGTGTGTTTTTTTTAAATAGTGGTAAAATGTATGTAACATAAAAATTTACCATTTCAAGTATTTTAAAATGTACAGTTCTATGGCATTAGGTACGTTTATATTGCTGTGCAATCATCACCACCATCCATCTCCAGAACCTTTTTATCTTTCCTAAGTAAAACTATGTCTCTCAACCCCCTCCCCCAGCCCCTGGAAACCACCATTCAACTTTGGGTTTCTGCATATCTGACTACTCTAGGAAGTTCATCTAAAAGGGATAGTTTTTAGGATACAGGTGGTTGTTGGTTACATGGATAAGTTCTTTAGTGGGCTTTTCGTGCACCTGTCAGCTGAGCAGTAGATACTGTACCCAATATATAGTCCTTTATCCCTCACCCCCTCCCAACCATCCCTTCCTGCCAGTCCCCAAAATCCATGTCATTATTTTTATGCTTTTGCATCTTCATAGCTTAGCTCCCACTTATACTTTGAGAACATACCATATTTGGTTGTCTATTTTTAAGTTACTTCACTTAGAATAACGGCCAGCTCTATCAAAGCCCTTGCTGCAAAGGAATTATTTCATTCCTTTTTATGGCTGAGTTGTATTTCGTGCTGTATATATACCACATTTTCTTTATCCATTCATTGATTGATGGGCACTTAGGTTGGTTTCATATCTTTGCAAATGACATGAATAGACAATTCTCAAAAGAAGATATGTAACAGCCAACAAACATATAACAAAGTGCTCAACATCATTAATCGTCAGGGAACACCACTCAACAATAAAAAGAAACAAAATAATCTATCATGTCTTTTGTGTGTGTATGTGAGACTGAGTCTTGCTGTGTTGTCCAGGCTGGAGTGCAATGGTGTGATCTTGGCTCACTGCAAACTCTGCCTCCTGGGTTTAAGTGATTCTCCTGCCCCAGCTTCCCAAGTAGCTGGGATTACAGGTGCCTGCCACCACACGTGGCTAATTTTTATATTTTTAGTGGAGACAGAATTTCATTATGTTGGCCAGGCTCCTCTTGAAATTCTGACCTCAAGTGATCCACCTGCCTCAGTTTCCCAGCCTATAATGTCTTTTGCAATTGATTTTTTAAAAAGTAAATTGCTTAAGTTCTGTAATTACCTTAGCTGTCAAGACAGTCTGGTGAGATTTGTTCTTTTGGTGAGGGAAGACCCTGGCTACTCTTTTTACCATTTGGACCCATGGAATATCAGTAAAAAGTGTTTTTAGAGAGTCTGAAGAAATATATATATATATTCTGTATTATCCAAACTCTTCCTATCTGAACTCAGAAACTTAATTGGATAAGATAATTTTTTAGATAAATGCTTTGTATTTAAATTATTGCTGTTTGCTGTCGAAATTGATGGAACAAAACTGATTTAGTAATAAACTTTTCAACTCAAGACAAAATCAATTTAGATAGAGAGGAATACTTGTATTGGGTAAGAGAGTAGTACTTGTATTGGGTAATGCTGGCTTTTCTGTGTGATTGACTGTTCAAAGGATGAAGATGAAATGGAAATGCCCATTTGAATTCAAAGTACTGATGAGTCTCACATTCTCTGAGAAGCTCCCCAAAGGTCTGCACTTCAGCATCCTAGAGTTTCCTGAGGACTCATTGGGTTTCTAGGCTTTAGTGGCGCCGACTAGAATGGGGAACAGACTATAGTCACAACTCAGAGGGAAGGGAAGGTTTGCTCTCTTGTAATGGGCTTGTCAGAACTGAAAGCTGGAATTTCCATGGCCACTAGGTGGCTTCAGCTATGTGCAAAGAAAGGTTCAAGCCCCAAGGTACTCTGAGGTTGCTTTTCACACTTCAGGAAGATAATTCCATTTTGGGAGTATTTGTTTTCTGAGGGGTAGATGGCAGAACAATTCATAAAACTTAAAGCTTTTGAGGATTATCTAGTCTTACCTTCTCATTATACAGGTAAAGAATATTTAGGAAAAGTTCCCCAAGTTGACTCAGCTCTATAGGGGTGGCATCAGAGCTAGAACTCAAGTCTTTTGAGTCCTAGTCTAGTTCTTTAGCTGTTCAACCAGTGATATCAATCTAGTTTTTATTTCTTCAAAGCCATATGACAGGGTTGCACATCACTGACTATACCTGAGCCCTGGAGACTCAGGTATATCGCATGTTGTATCGCAATGTTGTGTTTAAGGCAGGTGGTGAAGTGGGTGCTGGTGGCCATCTTATGGGCAAAACTGGGCAATGGTAGTATCTACTTCCAACCCAGTGGAGCTTTTAGATGAATGAAATCTACCTGCCATGATCCACAGTTGGGGAGTTTTAAACATTTTTGTTCATTCTGAATAAGCCTAGACTCTTACATGCTTCATCTGTTATATAGCTTATGTCCTTTTTTCTTCTACAGATGAATAGCAACATTTTAAAATCTTCTTTTTTCTCACAATTTTTCTGTTTTTGTTTACTTTTGGAGACAAGGTCTTGCTGTGTTGTCCAAGCTGGATTCAAACTCCTGGGCTTAAGTGAGTCTTTGTCTCATCAAGTAGCTGGGAGTGCAGGCATCTGCTACTGTGCCCAATTTATTATTTTTTTCAATTTATTATTTTTGATTAATATCTAACCTCTAGAACAGAGTCAAAAATACTTTAAAAAATCAAAAGTTTCTGTAGAAAACATAACAGACAAAAGTGAGTCAAACAATTCCATTATGTATCAACTCAAAAATGGCTTGTGATGATGTTGAATTTTTTTGTTTCTCTGGCAAACTTAGGGAGGAAGAAAATACAGTATTCATCTCAGCTACTTTTTATGATATGTTCCCAAAAACTTACAACCTAAAAAAAATGGTATGCTAAAATTATCTGTAATTTATAGATTATGGCTAGTTTCTAGAGTAAAACAGACCTAAAGGAGCCTAAGAGAAAAAGAACAGTGAAATAATGGGAGGAAAAGAGATAATTAGGATGAAAAGAGTGATAAAGAAAGAGCTGGTAAGTGGGACAATTGGCTGCTTCTAGCTAAAAGTGAAGAGAAGGAGAGAACAAACTAGAGGACCGCTTGAGTAGGAGAGCATGTGAAGGAAGCTGTGATGGGTGGGCCTGGGAGGGGGCAAACTTGAATCTTAAGGATAGAGAGAGTGAAAAGGATGAGGAAAGATTGGGGTGGGGGCACTTTTTTTCCCAAGACCTCCCATGGCTTCCCGTATTAACTTTGTTTGCTGTTCTGTCCCCTGGGTTGTACGGTCTTCACTCCTGTGCCTCATTCCTGGTCTTAGGCCAACCAGCAGCCCAGCTGTGTCTCTTGCTTCATTGTACCTCCACAAGTGTTGTTTATATGCTTATTATGGATATGCCAAGTGGTAGCTGGAGTGAGGATTAAAAACAGTACTTAAAATGCTCTTAGAGCAGGATTTGCTTTGTAGTTAGGTCCCCCAAAGTGGTAGCTATTATAATAATTAAGCTCTTTCCCTGCCTTAGTTGATCTTAACATTGGGAGTACTTCTATAAATACGAATATGTTTGAAGTGTTTGAATTGAGTCTTTGAAGTAAAACTCTAGAAATAGATATATTGCCATTTACTTAATGGTATGTTGATGCTGAATTGAGTAAAAGCATAGTTGGTCAATACTAAATTACTGAAATTTACAATTATGTCTTATTTTCTCTTTCTTACTGTAGTGATTTAAAGGGAGTGATAGTCACTCTTAGTGATGATGGTCACTTGCAGTGTTCATACCTGGGGACAGATCCTTCTCTGTTCCAAGCTCCAAACGTTGAATCTCGAGAACTAAACTATGATGAACTTGATGTAGAAATGAAAGAACTGCAGAAAATCATCAAAGATGTTAACAAATCACAAGGTATCTCATTTGCAGCTTTTTAGTATTTTAGTATTCATTGTGAAATTCATGTTATCTTGTATATAGATATTATTTTGTGTATTTGTTAATTTTTTTCATCTAGGCTTAATTAAAGTCATATTTGTAAAAACAGTATTGCTCTTTAGCACACAAGGTCTTTATGTTTACTTTGTGTGTTATGGTTTCTGAAAACATATTTAAGAAAATGTTTTTGTTGTTAATGTTTCATGGACAGCACTATGTAGTTTTTTTCTTTACATGCTAAGAAAGGAAGAAGTACTTTGGGTGGTAGCTTTAGGCCTTGAGAAGAGCATTAAAATTTAGGGCGGTCATTTATTAACTTCTGATATTCCTGAAATGACTTTAGTTTTTCTTTCAAAAGAAACCAAAGCACGTGAGCTACCATTTTGTTACTAAAAATATAGTCATTTGCAGCTTAGTGACATAATTTATGTTTGTAGTTAATTAACCGTCCAAATGGTGTGTAGCTTGTGGTATGCTGATATCTAATGACTCAGAGGCTGATGATGTTTTCAGTTCCTAAGTTTTGAATAACTCAATATTATCTTACTTTGGGACTCACAAGGGTGTAATTTTTTTGTAAATTAAAAGGAGAAACAAAACACCAGTCCTGCAGTTTGAGTTGGACATGTGAAAAGCATTAGTTTAAGTTCCTTTTCAGGGTCAGGTAAAAGTATTTTTTTTAATGAGAAAAAAATGGACTATTTTCACATAAAAGAAATGTTAAAACAAGCAGGAATAATGAAAGAAGCTGAGCATCAAAAGCCAACCAAAACAACAGAGCCAATCTTAATCCTGATCCAATCATTTTACTAGATTTATGTACTTTGAGTCTATGTTACCAACATTGTATTCCTCTGGTCCTGAGGAACTGAGATAATATATTTTAAAAATGTGAATATTAAAATAAAGTTATTATGCTTTGGTTTCACACATTCCTTTGGAAAGTTTTGAAAGTAAACCAGTGAAGCGCAGGTCTTTCAAGTACCTCCAATTACTTAAAAACCTATTTGTTGTCAGCACTGCCATGTTAAATAGAGAGTGGTTAAAATTGGATGTGTCATATCTCAGTATATGATTTTTTTTTTGATTTTTGATACTAGCATTTTTGGGATTAGTAGAATTATAAGTCTCATCTTGTAAATTAAAATTTCGGGGAAGTGTGGCATAGGCATGAAACATGAAATTTCCAGAGTTCATTAAATAATACAGCTTTCACTCCAAATTTTGTCTTGAGATTGTGCCCTTTCCATAGTAATGTGCCAGTGATATTTTTATTAACATTAATTGAATGTGAAATTTCTCAGAAAATCCCTTACAGTTAAAAGTTATTTCTTGGTGATTACAGTGATGAACTTGGATGAGAAGGTTTAGGCTATTTTACTTGTTATTACCTTGATCCCTTCAGTATATCTTGAAATAACTGTGAATTAAATTAAAGATACCCCCACAGACTTAGGTGCAAAGTGCATGATTTACATAACCTCAATTCTTAATTAATGTTTGAAGTTCCTTGCCCCTGCTATGCCATTGTCATTTAGTTTTATTTCTGAGAAAGAAATAAAGGGAAACTTTTTAAATTGAGAGGTATTTAAAACATTTTATTTCTAGATATGGAAAAAAATTAGTGTCTTATACCCTTATAAAACCATGGTATGTTTGTTTATTAAAATATCTGTAATTATATAAGAGCACAAAATTGTTTTATTACAGTTTTAGCTTCTCTTTATTATAAGAAGTTAAAACGCTGAACTTTGTGATGACCCCCATCATTCATTTAAATGTCACTTATTTTAGTATGGGGGCTTTAACTTACAAAAAATGTGCATAGTCTTTCAGGTTATGTTCAGTACTTAAAGCTTTTAAAAGTGTTTTCAAAGGAAGAGTTGCAGCAAAATTTAAGGCCAGTTTAAAGAGTACATTTTGTTGTACACATGGTGTATATTATCTACTGTAATAAAAGTGTTTTTGAAGCTGATTTTATGTGTGTAAGTTATAAGAGGAATGTATATTGTAAGCATGAAATCATAGTAATAACTTCTGTATGGCTCATAGATTCTGAAGCTTTTTATACTCAACTCATTAGTGTGAATCCTGCCTAGCATTTTTGTTACCAGTAGTCAACAACATCTACTGGTAGGAACTTTCAAAGACAGAATTTTATTTATGATTCAGATAGTTGATCATGTTGTCTACCCAGCGTGATTATGAGGGACTGGGTGCAACATTGAGATAGGTGCCCATACATCTGTGTCTTCAGAAAGGGACAGAGAGCAGTAAGAGGTAGGGGTATAAATGAAAGTCTGTACCAGCATAACCACTGATGTTATCACTGAATAGTAGAATCATTTGTATTTTGTGACACTGTTCACTTAAAATTCTGTCTGGCTACATGTCACAGAATACCCAAATAAGATAGAGGTTTCTTTCTTTCTCTTGTAAAAAAGGCCCAGTGATGAGCAGTCCAGGGTTGGCTTGGCAGTTCCACAGTCATCAGGGACTCTGATTCCTTCTATCTCAGGGTCATATATTGGTCCAGCATGGCTTTTGGAACTCCTGCTCTCACATCTGCTGCTGAGTCAGCCCCCTTAAGGAGATTTCTTGGAAGCCACACCCTGAATGGCTCCTACTCATGTCTCACTAGCCACTCTAAGCTGCAAAACTGGCTGGGAAATTACGTGATTTAGTTGAGTACTTTGTTGCTTGAATAAAATTGGGCTTTAAGTAAAGAAGAATCAAAGAGCAGTTATTGGGATGGGCAATGAACAGCCATTTGTACTCTCATTAAGTTATGGAAATTTCCTTTCCAAATTATGCAGTTTGGTGGGAATGCCTGATACCAGTTGTAGGAAATTCCTTTTTTGTGAGACAGCTGATTCATGTGGCATCATCCAGGTGCTTTCTATATTTTCAGTCAGCCATCCTCAGAGTGTGGGAGATGTTTCCTCTCAGGGTCACAGGGTGATCTCAGCAATTCTAGGTGTTATATTCAGATATGATTTCCAGGGAAGAATCATCAGGCTATTTCTCCCGATGCTCCCTCTTATTAGGAAGGAATAGCTTTCCCAGAAGCATGTGCCAGCTCTCTCCATTCCCAGCTTTCCTTACCTTCCATCTGCCAGGATTAAGTCCCACGTTCATTCCTAAAACAACAAATGGTCAGTGGAAGGAAATCACCGTGACTGGATTTGACCCTGGTGACTGGGAGGGGTGACTGTCTCTGAGATGAAGGTGAATAGCTCAACAAAATTAAGGCTCCAATACAAAGAGGGAAGAGGGAAGAATGGATGTTGAGTACGCAGCTAGTAGTTCGATATATTATATATATATGTAATATTACATATATACAAATTACATATGTAATTTAAAAATGTTTTTTGTTTAAAATCTTTGTGATTGATACTATGAATAAGTATCTCATTATGCAATATAAATATGTTTAAAATTATGAATTAATTTACATTCCCACCAACGATGTAAAAGCATTCCTATTTCTCCACATCCTCTCCAGCATCTGTTGTCTCCAGATTTTCTAATATCGCCATTCTAACTGGCATGAGGTGGTATCTCAATGTGGTTTTGATTTGCATTTCTCTAATGACCAGTGATGATGAGCTTTTTTTCATATGTTTTTGGCTGCATAAATATCTTTGAAAAGTGTCTGTTCATATCCTTTGCCCACTTTTTGACAGGATTGTTTGTTTTTTCTTGTAAATTTAAAAAATCTTTGTGGTTGATACTATGAATAAGTATCTCATTATGAAATTTAAATATGTTTAAAATTATGAAAATAACATGTATATAATAAAAATAATTCAACCAGTACTAAAAGGATAAATAATGAAAAGCGAATCTTTGTTCAACCCAAGATCCTAGTTCCACTCCATAAAGGCAATTCTTACTGAGAGTTTTTGTAACAAGCAATGGGGAAAGGATTCCCTATTTAATAAATGGTGTTGGGAAAACTGGCTAGTCATCTGCAGAAAGCTGAAACTGGATCCCTTCCTTACACTTTATACAAAAATTAACTCTAGATAGATTAAAGATTTAAACATAAGGCCTAATGCCATAAAAACTCTGGAAGAAATCCTAGGCAATACCATTGAGGACATAGACATGGGCAAGAACTTCATAACTAAAACACCAAAAGCAATGACAATAAAAGCCAAAAATAAGCAAATGAGATCTAATTAAACTTAAGAGCTTCTGCAGAGCAAAATAAACTATCAGTAGAGTGAACTGGCAACCAACAGAATGGGAAAAAATTTTACAATCTACCACTCTGATAAAGGGCTAATATCTAGAATCTACAGAGAATGTAAACAAATTTATAAGAAAAAACAACCCCATCATAAAGTGGGCAAAGGATATGAACAGACACTTTTCAAAGACATTTATGCAGTCAACAAACATGAAAAAAAGCTCATCATCACTGGTCATTAGAGAAATGCAAATCAAAACCACATTGAGATACCACCTCACATCAGTTAGAATGGCGATATTAAAAAATCTGGAGAGAACAGATGCTGGAGAGGATGTGGAGAAATAGGAATGCTTTTACATCGTTGGTGGGAGTGTAAATTAATCCAGCCATTGTGGAAGACAATGTGGCGATTCCTCAAGGATCTAGAAATAGAAATACCATTTGACCCAGCAATCCTATTACTGAGTATATACCCAAAGGATTATAAATCATTCTTTTATAAAAACACATGCACACTTAGATTTATTGCAGCACTGTTCACAATAGGAAAGACTTGGAACCAACCCAAATGCCCATCAAGGTTAGGCTGGATAAAGAAAATGAGGCACCTATATACCATGGAATACTATGCAGCCATAAAAAAGGATGAGTTCATGTCCTTTGCAGGGACATGGATGAAACAGGAAACCATCATTCTCAGCACACTGACACAATGACAGAAAACCAAACACCACATGTTCTCACTCATAAGTGGGTGTTGAATAATGAGAACACACAGGCACAGGGAGAGGAACATTGCGCACCAGGGCCTGGGGGTTAGGGGGCTAGGGGAGGAATAGCAGGGGGTGGGGAGATTGGGGAGGAATAGCATTAGGAGAAATACCTAATGTAGGTGACAGGGCAATGGATGCAGCAAACCACTACCAAGGGATGTGTATACCTATGTAACAAACCTGCATGAGCTGCACATGTACCCCAGAACTTAAAGTAGAATAAATACAAAAAAAAAAGTTTTAGTGTATTCTTCTAGAAAATATTCATGTTTATGTAATTGTTTTGACACAAATACGTGCATATTAGATACATTGTATTACATCTTGCTTTTTAAAACTTAATAGATAAATTTTGCAGTTTTTAAATATTAGTATGTAAAGATGGATAGCACTCCTGTTTACAACTTTGGGACATTGCATAGTACAGATATACCATACTTTATGTAACAGTTAGCCTATTAATAGATATATAGATATTTAGATTCTTTTCATTTTTGAAAAAGTAGCTACTAACATTAGAGACCTCCGTGGGCATGCTTATGGGTATTAGATACATTCTTGGGAGTAGAATTACGTCACAGGATATGTACATTTTACATTTTGATAGTTATAGCCAACTTACCTTCAAAAGGGCTGTACTAATTTGGGCTTCCACTAGTAGTTAAAAGAGAGGGCATTGAAATTCCCACTGCTGGTCAGTCAATGGCTCACATCTTAGCTAATATCTGCAGAAGGAGACAATGTTTTTGTTTGTTTGTTTGTTTTTACTGTATTATAGAGGTAAATAATTAGTATCAAGCTTCTAATACTGTAATATATTAGTTTTTATCAACTTGTGGGTATGTTTATGGGGCTGTTTTTATTTATGGTATAGACACACCTTTAAAGAAAAACTATAGACAGAAGGTTTTACTTTATGATTAAATGCCTTTTCTTTTTTTTTTTTTAAATCACAGGTGTTTGGCCCATCACTGAGAGAGAAGATGACTTGAACGTTTCTGTTGTGGTTTCTCCTAACTTTGATTCAGTTTCTGTAGGTGTACTTGCAGATTTTAAAGGGGTTTATAATAGTGGTAGATTCTGATGAATTAGGATCAAAATGCATTGATTTAAATTTTGGTCCTTCGGGTAGAAACTTCAGGGAGGATAACAAATTGTAGGCCTTGCTACTTTCTAGATAAAAACATTAATAGACCCTTAGTGCCAGTAAGGAGTTCCTTGGGCAGGATTTCTGTTTTAAAAAGAAGTGGGATTGTGGGGGTAGAGAGCAGTAGAAGGGCTTCTTGCCCTAGTTCTAATCCTACTTAAAAAATTTTTTTTAACTTCCTTGGTACCATAGCATTGACATAATATTAATATAGCTGAATAATACTGATGCTACCAGATTTTTGTTGAAGGTTCAATGAGATAATGTTTGTGAGTGGCCTAGTTCAAAGTTCAATGATTTCTAGTCTTTAATACTTGGTGGTGGTGGTGGTGATGGTAGGGTAGTTTAAGAGTATATAGTTGGTTCAAGAATTATTTTTTCCCTTATTTCTATCTGTGTGACACAAGGCAAGATACTTAATTTTCTTAGTCTGAATTTTTTCATCTGCAAAACGGGAATAATAATAGAATCTACTTTGTTGATTGTTATAATTGTCATGATTGTCATTTTCATCTAGTTACATTTTACTTCTTTCAGTATTATAATCATCATCACCATCACCATCACCATTATCATTATCACAACCATCTGTGTCCATGAGTTGTCTTGTTCACTGCTGTATCCTTAGTGGTTGCCACGTAATGGGTGCTCTATATGTATTTGCTCTATGAATGATTGATTATGTCTCACTGACTGTAGTTTATCTGTGTTTCTACCAGCAGATGATCAATTTAGGGAAGTGGTTGAATTCACTCATTTTACCATATGTGGAGTTTATATCATAAAATTCTGCCTGGGAAATGTCTTCATTATTTAGGTATCAGAGCATACCTTAACATGTATATCATGAGTGTCCAAAGATTAATCTTAACAGCCAATCCAATTTGTGATAAAAATCACATTAACATTGTTATAGTATAGTAAACTGGGTACATGGAAAAGTACGACTATATGAGTCACATAGTAGAGGCACTGTTTTAAACATTGGCCATTCAGCACACGCCATTTTTCATTCTACCTAAGTGTGTAGTCTAAGTGGAACATTTCTGCTTCGTTAGCTGACAAATGTACACATATTTTCTTGCTGTGGAAATGACTTTTTTCCCCCCTCTGGGCAACTAAGTTTTTCTAGGTTCTCTTCAACATAGGCTATTTGGAATGAGGAATTCCCTTTCTGTTTTTAAGGAACTTTTAGTCTTTGTAGGAAAATGCCTTATGTACTAGCACTATGTTATAATGTATATTTCCTTGTTGGTAACCCTGAATGCTGTTTTCTCTTAAGTGTCTCTTTCCAGCTTTATTTTCCCTGTGTTACTGTTTTTTCCTTCTTAAGCAATTTCTTGAGAGTATCGTATTCATCTCATTGGAAAACATTAGCCCTATAATTTATGTGGCTTTGGTGCCATGACGTCTTTTTAAAGCCATTTCTTTCTTGCTATAGCTTTGTGTTCCCAAAGGACTGCTATCCTTGAAGTATCTAGGTGTTTAGTCATGGATTGAAAGGAGCAGGAAACAGGAGATGTTGATTTCTCCTTTAGATTTGTGGATAGCTAACTGTAAAATATTTCCTGGATTTTAGGTAATGTTAGAGCACAAAGCCTGGATTAATATTTTACTTTGAATCATTATTATGAAAGCATACATCTCAAAAAAGTAATATCATTTATATTATAATGAAGTCTTTCTTAGAGGACATAAGCATTGCTATCCCGTCTTCCTGATTGAGAAGCTGGATCATAGTTCAAATATTATTTCCTGTGGAGCCATAAGTAGAATGTGAATCTCTCAACTTTGAATTCTGCTGATGCCCATTATATTATAGGATCCCATTGCTTAGAAGTGGCTTAGTTTTTCTTAGTTAAAAATATTTCAAGTAAAAAAGCACAATGGATGATATTCATTGGTTGGATAGAGACATAATTTTAATCCCAAGAATCATATGGGTATTAGTAGAAAACATAATACCCCTTAGTCTTATTCTATCTTAAAGCATTTTTCTGTATCAATGTATTACTCTAAAAAATAAGGTTGAAGTGATAAGGAAAGTGTTTTATATATTACATTATACTATGTATTCTTTAACAGGTAGGAGCAGGTAATGTAAGCTGACACTCAAAGAATGCCTATTGAATTAGTTTATGATATGCACTCGTTAAAAAAAAGTATACTTTCACGTTTTGTTTCTTTTCTTTTTTTCCTTTTTGGTTTTTGAGACAGCGTCTCACTCTTTCACCCAGGCTGGAGTGAAGTGATGTGATTTCTGCTCACTGCAACCTCTGCCTCCCAGGTTCAAGTGATTCTTCTGCCTCAGCCTCCTGAGTAGCTGGGATTACAGGTGCCTGCCACCATGCCCAACTAATTTTTGTATTTTTAGTAGAAGCAGGGTTTCACCATGTTGGTCAGGCTGGTCTTGAACTTCTGACCTCAGGTAATCCACTCGCCTGGCCCTCCTGAAGTGCTAGGATTACAGGCATCAGCCACTGCACACGGCCCACTTCTGTTTTCTAGGTGTAAGGCCACTCAATCTTTATATCATTAGTTGCATGTCTTAGATAGATGTTATTAATCATAATGACACATACCTTCCGCAAGGTGAAAATACAAGGATCTGAAAGAATGGCATAATATTTTCTGGGACATACAGGGAGGTCTTCTTCTGTAATATAAATAACAAGCTAATAGAATTATACTTTAAATATTTAAGCAAATTTGGGAATTTAGTGGTTTGATAAAGTATGTGACATTTTCTTTCATTTTTAGGGGATGAGTTTTTTAATATTAGCTTATGACTTTCCGGATGAAGGCATCAAAAAAGCCACATCTTTTCTTTTAGTCTGTCATTAGAGTGATAAATCCTTTATAATTCCCTATTTTGGTAGTGAGAAGTATACATTGCACCCATTGTGTTCACTCATTGCTGTGTAGTATTGAAATCATTCTTTCTCACCTTCTCAATTTTGTGTTTACAGCAAGCAACCGATGTTGAGGTGGGAACTGACCTTGTCCCTTCTGTCACAGTGAAGGTATTGTACCAGATTTTATACTGTAATGTACAAACAATATTATATGTTTTATCACATCTGTTACTGTTGGTAACTTGTAAGTAGCTTACAGAAATGTAAAATAAACACTTGGCATTCGTAGATATTTCCCCAGCCTTGAGTAGTGAATAGAAAACCTTTACTGTTACTTGGAAATATAAAACTGATAACTGTATTTATATCAATATGTATATAATATAAACAATTGTTATGAAGTGCTATTATCATTATTTAAATGTGTAGCATGATCCAGACTCTTTTTCTTTGGAAATAAAGTTAACATTTTAAATCTTCTAAAGGAATTGTGTCATCAGCATTCATAATAGACCAATTAATTGATAGTAGTATCATCATACATAGTATACTGTGAACTGATATTGGAGAAGCACAGGGATGCTAATATCTTTTTTCGATCTATGATTGTGTGTGTGTTTGAAAAGAATTCCCAGCTATCTCTCTACCATAGCTTTAAGTGAATGTATTTACAGCAAGAAAACATTAAATGAAGATGCCACAAAGTTAGAGTAGTGACAATTGGTAGTCTGGGAAAAATAGAATACTAAGGATGTGGTTTGGTTAAGAATTTTAGTCCTGTCATTGTAGACTTTTAGAACTAGAACTTAAATGTAGAACCCTCTTAAAGCATTTAGGTTAAAATATGGTAATCAGTCAGCACATTATTAAGCTGAAAATATTTATCACTGCCCAAACCTTGGAAGCAAGAGAAAGTTGTGGATTTTGGCAATTCACTTAGTCAAAACTTGGATGGAGCTTTATATTTTCTTAGATTATGTGTTGCTGTCCTTGGAGGAGCTTGACAGGGCACCAAGCTTTACCAATTGTGTTCGCTTACCCTGGAGCCAGCGGGTGGCCCAAGTATGGAGCTCTTTGGTCGAACTTGAGGGAAGCTGAATCTTACAACAGTTTCCTGAGCTAAGTTTTTTGGATGCTTGCCACTGGAAACAAGGGTGGTCTTTCCCCAGTCTCCTTTCCCCCAATCCAATCAAAGGCTGTATCTCATTAATACTTCTGAATCTGGAAAGGCATTAGTGGCAAGAAATCAAACACTTAAGAAAAAGAAATAACTGTAGAGTTCCAGGAATGATCTGTACTTTTGTATAGGGACACCCCTTTTATATCTACTGATAACGTTCAGACACATATATGTAATAATTTAGGAGTGCACTGTTTATTGCAAAAATAGATCTTGTGCCTTAACTAGATAACATTCCTCATGTTAATTGTATCCCCAACCAACCAGGACTTAGCACCATAAGTAAACATACCTTTACCTCCTGTGTAGTTCTTAAGCTTTTATGTGTAGTAGCCACCTTAAAATGATGACATAACACTACTGGAAAATTCTCCTTCATTCATAGAACTTATATTTGAGAATACTTAAGTCATAACTCTCTTTCTCATTGCCATTATAAAAGCACGAGAAAGAATGCAACAGGCAAGGGTTGCAGAAAATTGGCGGGACCCACACAGCAGACACAATGACTTCCTGATCCTGTCTGACAGTTTCTATACAAATTTCTACTATAAATCTCTCCTTGTGGCCTTTTATAACAACAGCAGCCAAGATATATAACCATGCAAGTTTCCATCATAATAAATCCTGTTAATTGAGAAAATTTTTCCATCCGTTCCGAGTGAATGGAGATGTGGCTACCTTGAGTATGTGTGCATGATGCGTTGACCATCTATTCCAGGCAACTAGGCAGAGTGGTTGTTCATACCTGGCCTTTGGAGTCATATTTATATATCTAGGATAAAAATTTGGTATTATATTTCCTAAGGATTATATTTCATAAGAGGCAGAAAATAGCATGGAAAATTCCTGTATTAATGTTTTATATTTTCTCCTTAATATTCTATAATTATTTTCCTCTTAAAATATGAGGCTTATGATCTAGCCAAGTCTTTAACTCTTTTTTGGCTCAAACACAACTATTCTTTGTTACTGTTGTTATTTTCGTTACCTGTCTCCTTGATTTGTATTTTGAAAGGGCCTACCCCATTGTTGGGGTTCAATAAATAAGCGCATGAGAGCTATCATGATTGTTCATTTAAACCAAATGCAAATCCTTCTTCTTACAATGCAAAAGTCTGTGATTATTGTCTAAGTAGACATCATTATGCCAGGAAAAGTCAGACTGCTCTTTTTGAAAATGGCTTATTACTACTTAAGGGAATGTTCATTTTTACTTTTAAAACTGAGCTCTCATGAGACTTTCCTGGTCACTATTTTCAACTCTCTAGTTGGATTGATGGCTTTGCACATGTTATTTACCTTCTCTGAACTTCTATTTTGTGAACTGTGAAATGGTGATACTTTTTTATTTGCAAAGTTATTTTGAGTCTTATCTAAACTTGGTTAAAGGCATGGGCTCCGGATTCTGGTAGATAGCAGTTAAGTTGTGGTTCTTCCACTTAGAGTGGCCTTGGGCAAATTACTAGCATCTGTGAGCCACAGTTTTTTGAAAAATGGTTTATGATGGTATCTGTTAAACATTCTTATAAAGAGTAAATTAAATAATGTACATAAATAATGTTAGCATTGTTCCATGATTATAGAAACTGCTAATCATTTTTGTCATTTATATTATTCATTTTATTTTAAAATATATGTACAGACTAGCATTATATGACTGTAATAGTAAAATACTTAAATTGTGTCCTGTTTGTTTAATGGACTAGCTAGTTGAAAGAAAGTTGTTTGTAGCACTTGCATGGTGTCTTCTTGCTGTAATTACCATCAGGGTTTTACTAAAAAGTTACTGTGTTTACAATGGCCAGACATCATCAAGGAAGTTTAGTTTGTGGCATGATGATTCCCTGTGTATTACCAGGATGTGCAAAGTAAAAATTGAGGATTAATTGTTCATTGCGTTTATCCTATTTAATTGCATGAATAGTTGTCTTAAAAATTTTCCTTTGCAAGTCAAACTTTTTACGTTTAACTTATTTTTAAGTTGCACAGAGTACTCACATCACTTAAAATTAATATATTTACTGAATCAATTATATATACATAATGTTTGAGGACCAATTGTATATTCTTGTATATATAAAAATATTATATACTTTTAATCAAGGAGGTGGTGATACATGCTTTTTACTGAAAAGAAATTTTAAAACTACTTTTCTTAACAATATGAATGGTTTTTGAATTATGTTAGTTAATGTATGCATCTGTCTCATATAACAAAGTCTAGAGACTGAACTGCTCTATAGAAAAGTTATCATATAGAATGGTGGTTTATTTATTTAATTTTTTTCTTATGACACACCAGTCACCATGATGGAACATTTAAAAATAGCTTTATTTAGATATAATTTATATACTATATTATTCAGTTATTTAAAGTTACAATCCAAAGATTTTTAGTACAGTGTATTTACTGAAGTTTACAACCATCACCACAATTTAATTTCGGAACATTTTATTCCCCCTAAAAGAAATGCCATACTCATTAGCTGTCATTCCTCATCCTCCCATCCCCCCATCCCTAAGCAACTCCTAATCTACTTTATTTGTCAATAGATTGCCTATTCTATACATTTCATATAAGTGGATCATACAATACCACAAAATGGTTCTTTGTGACTAGATTTTTTCACTTGGCATAATGTTTTTAAGGTTCACCCATGTTGTGGCATATAAATGAAATGATGCCCATAAATTTGTTAGCGTGGTTCCTTGAGTATAGAAAATTGCTAATGGTTTTTATCATTAATATTATTCTTAATGTATTTCATTTATTTCATTGTATGAGTATATCACATTTTGTTTATCCATTCATCATGATGGGAGTTTGGATTATTTCTGCTTTTTGGCTATTAGCATATTGTTGTTGTGAACATTTGTGTATAAGTTTTTGAGTGGACATATTTTTTCATTTCTCTTGGTATAGAATTGTGAAGTTATATGGTAAATTTATATTTCTTCTTTAAAGAAACTGCCAGACTTTTCTTAGAGTAGCTGTACGAATTTACATTTTCACTGGCAATGTATGAGGTTCTAGTTTCTCCACATCATTTCTAACACGTTATTGTCTGTACTTTTGATTATAGCCATTTTATTGGGTACGTAGTAGTATCTGACTGTTGTTTTTAGTTTGTATATCCTTCATAACTAAGGATATTGAGCATCTTTGTATGTACATATTGCCAATTTTTATTCTTTTGAGTAAAGTCTGTTTAACTTTTTTGCACAGTTTCTACTTGATGGAATATTTTAATCTATTACTTATTGTGTTTGTTTTGTGACTACTCATTTTTTCCTCAGGTAATGTTTTCTATTTATTTGCTAGGTATTTTTAAGTAGTTAGGCTCATCTATCTATTTGAATAAAATGTAATTTTCTGTTGGTAACAATTTCTGTTTCTTTAGGTCACACTACAGAATAGAGTGGTATTGCAAAAAGTCAAATTATCAGTCTGCGTGCAACCACCATTAGAATTGACTTGTGATCAGTTCACCTTTGAATTTATGAGTAAGTTTTTTGTTTTGGCTGAAAGTCTACCATGTTGTGAATTTTAAAAAAAATACTAGTTTGTTCATTTAATGGCTATTATTTTGTGTCTGAATGGTGAGACTGGGATCATACCAAAATCAATGATTGTGTTGTTTTGCTTATATTTTCCCTCTTAGCATCAGCATGAACATTCAGTCAATAATTGTTGGGTCAAATTAATCTTTTAGGATTACAGATTTCTAAGTGCTGTTTTGAACTTGTTGGACCTGTAATTGTTATTTATTTATTTATTTTTGAGACAGCGTCTCACTCTCATTGGCCCAGTCTGGAGTGCAGTGGCATGATACATGGCTCACTGCAGCTTCGACTTTTTGGGCTCAAGTGATCCTCCCACCTCAGCCTCCTGAGTAGCTAGGAGTGCAGGCATATACCATCTGGCTAATATTTTGTATTTTTAGTAGAGATGGGGTTTCACCGTGTTATCTATGATAACACGGTGGGCTCACGCAATCTGCCTATCTTGGCCTCCCAAAGAGCAGATTACAGGCGTGAGCCACTGGGTCTGGCCTGCTTCTAAATACTAAAATTGAGAAGGCTTTCTTTATTGGTGTTTCTCTAGTGATCTATTTACTGAATAAGTAATGTTTGAAGAACAAATCTGGGATTTGGAGTTTGGCCTGAGTTTGAATCCTAGCTCTTATACTCACTTGATGTGTAACTTTGGATAAAAACTACTTTAGTAATCACTTGGAGCCTAGTTATTTTAATCTGCAAAAAGGCAATAAAGATATTTGTCTTACAAGGTTGCTTTGAGGATTTAATTAAAAAGTAAATCTGTAAAATGTTCATAGTAATGCTTAAAATAGTAGACATTTCATTAATGGCAACTCTTAGTAAGATTTCTTTGTATAGAATCTCTCACTCCCAAATTGTCATTAGTCCTGTTAACATGATCTTTGAATTACCTTTCAAGTCTTTTTTTCTTTTTGTTTACTATAGCTTTTCTGCTAAGGCTTCTATCTCTTATCATGAAGTCAAGAACATACCTTTCTTGTTTTGCCTCCATGTAACCAACCCATAGCTGAGTGCCTACCATTAGTGGGAATTCAATAAATCTTCATAGAATGAATGAATAAATGACTGAGTGAAGTAACCTCATAGGTGATACCCAGCCATTGAACTTTTGCTTGCATTTCTGATTTTGTATAATTCCAATGTGTCTTTCTAAAATACATTCTGAATAATTTATTTTTTCCTGTTAAAAATCACTTATGGCTCTCTAATACAGGTTGGGCGCCAAATATGTTAACATAGATGAGCATGCACAGTCTGCTCAGTGGCTGTTACATCCCTATTCAATGCCCCTCATCCATTTTCTCCTTCAGTCTATTATGTTCTACTCATGATAAATTGCTATTTTCCTCCCAAATTCTCCTGCCCTTTTGTGTACCGTTTTCTCTGTTCATGCTGTCTGTTCATCTAAGTAAAGAGCAGCAGTGGTGTATAATGCCAGATTCTTTGTACTTTGTTCTGGAGTCAGTCCCTAATAGCTGTGCTACCTTAGGCAAGATTCTTCTTTTTCTTTCTTTCTTTTTTTTTTTTTTTTTGAGACAGAGTCTTGCTCTGTCACCTGGACTGGAGTGCAGTGGAGCAATATTGGCTCACTGCAACCTCCACCTTCCAGGCGTCACCACGCCCAGCTAATTTTTTGTATTTTTAGTAGAGATGGGGTTTCATCGTGTTAGCTAGGCTGGTGTCGAAACTTGTGGCCTCACATGATCCGTCTGCCTAGGCGTCCCAAAGTGTTGGGATTACAGGTGTGAGCCACTGCACACGGTCTTAGGCAAGCTTCTTAATCTCTCTGTATTCCAATTTTCTCATGCATAAAATATGAGGACAATAATAGTAACAATCTCACAGGTTTGTTGTGAAGATTTAATGAGCTATTTCATGTAAAATGCTTTTGTACATGTACCTGGCATGCAGTGAGTACTTATTAAATTTTAACTACTGTTAATAACAATTGCCCCAACTTATGTAATCTATATTATTTTTTCATTGCTTATAGCACCAGATTTGACTAGAACAGTAAGCTTTTCTGTTTATCTGAAAAGAAGTTATACACCATCTGAATTGGAAGGAAATGCTGTTGTTTCTTATTCCAGACCAACAGGTAAACATATAGCCCTAATCATTCCTTTACGTTGTTGGAGTTATGAGTTAAATGCTTACACATTTAAGATAAGAAAACATACTGTGAAATACAATTAAATGAGAACATGTTATTTTGTACTGTTAAGTAAAATTATATGTTCTCATTATTTTTATGTTTTATGAGTAGTTCATGATAAGTCTATTTAGGTGATTTCCATATGTAATGTTTGGTTCTCTCTTTTCAGATAAAAATTGGATACATTTTTATTCCTAATAGAAGAATGTTATCTAGTCAGACTTCATTTATTTGGACTAAAGGCTAGTATTGATGCAGAGTTTTGCTCCTTAATTCAGCTATATCCTGGTTCTTATTTCACAACCAGGAAGAATTAGGTATGCAGACACAATGAAGAGTGAGGAAGGTGGAATTGTTAAGCGATAGGAAAGCTCTCAGCAAAGAGAGGGGTCCAGCAGGCAGGTTTCCACCTCACAAATTGAATACCAGGGCTCCCACACATAAGCTGATGAGGCAAGACTCCTCCCCTGCATAAGGTGCAAATTCCTAGTGGCTTCACCCCATTCCCCAGTGCACTTGCGGGCATGCCCAGGCAAACCATAGGTAGTATAGGAAAAGGCAACATTCGATTGGCTAAGACATTATTTGGAAAGAATCAATTGGGAAAGGTCGGGCACACAGGGGCAGAAGTTTTCCTTCTGGGTCGTGGGTTTCATCAAGCTGTTGTAAGCCTGAAAGTGCGCTTTTGCAGGGGACTTTCCCTATTTGCCTAAGCATTTGTCTGCCTCCTGCCTCTATCAGTATGAATTAGTAGAAAAGAATATTATAGATTACTCCAACATTAGGGCAGTAATCAGAGTTTTAGACGCTGTTTTAGTGACTAAATAAAACTCTTTAGCATCTTATGGGTTAAGAACAGATCTTTTAAATCTTAGTCTGCATTTTTTCATCCATTTTTGGCTATTATGCTTTTCTGTAATTTAAAAGACAGATTTAAAAGATTACAAATCATTGGTATTGGTTGAAAGGGGATTAGAAATTAACATTGAGAAAGTCTGCAAAATGCCAGGAGAAGCAAAACAAAACAAAACAAAAAAACAGACATTATTAACAGTAGTATTTTAAAACATTTATTATAAAAAAGAGGAACTGGATTGACTTTAAAGGGGAAAGTTAAAATAAATTTTAAAAGTAACTGGAAATGTTAATATTACATATTTTCCCTTTTACTCAGTTTTTTTCATTTAATGCTCTTGATGTCATTTACATATTGAGTCTTTTTTGCTGTTTGGCTAGATCATTACTTGTTTTTTTTTTTTCCCCGCATTTACACCGGAAAAACACATTCTCATAGACTTCTGAGAATGGAAATATAAACAAGTATATTGTTGGATTTTATTTATTTATGTTATACTCTTCAATTGTGAATTGACTTTACTTGTGTTTGGAGAGTTACTTAAGTCATCTGTGAGAATTTTGAAATTTTAATTTGTATTTTAAGCAGATATGTATCAAATTTGTGTTGTAACTTTACCACAGATAATTTGTTGCATTCTTTTTCTCCTATCCATTTTTGCATTGCCTGTAATGGATAGATCGAAATCCTGATGGTAAGTAAGATAATTTAGAAAAAAATGAATTTCAGAACTGAAATTTGGTTGATGAGTTGAATTGGTATATTATACCATGAATGAACTCTTCTTATGGGCTGTTGTAGAAAACTTCTTTAGGGTGATACAGTGCCTTGATTCTGCTTTGAAAAGCATAGTAGATATTTCCACAAAAAGCTGTCCTTATTGGTTGTTTGAGTCATGAGAATGAATGAAATTAGGAGTAAGAATAGAATGGCTTTTTTGAAAAATATTAAAGGTGTTATTGACCACTTATTTCTGCAAGTCATTGGTTATTTAGCTGCATGCTCTGTTATTTTACTTAAAGAAAGAGTTTTTAAAAAGGGTGTTTGTTACTGAATTCTAAATTGTGTTTTTCTACATGGCCCAAGAACTTCACCTCTCTCTGATAAGAATAGTGTATGTATTTGATCTGTGGGCCTATTCCTTGTCTTGTTTAGAATTTGTAGGGAATGTTATCAAAGGTCTGACCTCCTCTAACTCGCTTGGGTCAGTGTTGTTACTCACTTTGTTTCCCCCAAATCTTTTGCTTCACTTTGCTATAATTCTCATCATAATATGAGCTTAATTAAGTTTGTTCCTGAGGTTCTCCACATAGGTGTTGAGCTTTTTGAGGGCAGGGATCAAGCACTCATCTTTGAATTGCATGCTAACAGAGTACATAGCAGGCACTGCAAGTATCTCTGATTATTTTTCCTCTTAGATATAGACTTACTGTGGTAGTTTATCTTTACTAGTTATTTTAAGATACATTTGAGATAGCAGTATCAATTAGTAATAATTAAATAAATATAATGAAATTATTTAAAGGTAGTGGCAATATTTACTCACGCAGTTTGGATGATACCAACAACCTGAGTTGCATAGCACATGTCATCTTGATATCTGGAAAGTGAATATATATTTATATGAGAAGTGTTTTAATAGAAGTAAATGTTTAGCTTAACAACATGTAGTATACTTATCAATTTAGAATTTGGGTCATTAAAAATAACCTGATATTAATAATGAATATTTATATTTTAATTAGCTAGATTGCATGTAATTGTTAAGATTTTAGACTGAATTTTGTAAAATATCATATTATTATTTAAATGATTAGTTTTAAGTTTTAAAAAAATCAGTTAAGGTTATTGTTGAAAGATATTTATTCCTTCTTACTGTAAATTGAGCCCAAACTATGAGGAAAAAACTCACAATTTATAGAAATTGTAGTGTTTCAATAAAAAGTGAAAGCTGGTTTTAATAATCTTTTTGATATATTTTTAAATTATAATTAAGCTTTAGGGAGTGGAGTTGAACTATTCAGTGGCACCTAGTAGGCAAGAAAATAATATGTTGCCACTTAGATCTTACTTACACACAGGGCTTCATATTTCAAAGACTGATCCATTTTATTGTCTTGATCTGTTCAGGCTGTATTGCAGATAAGTTGTTCTGCTTTTATATGTGGAAAAAGAGAGGCAAACAAGGTTTTATGTTGTCCCATAAGGGTTAGTCTCCATTATTTCTGCATTAAAGTTACATGATGTGGGCAGTGTAAAACATGACTGCAGATGAAGCACAGTACGTAGCCAGACATAACAGGAAGGGATCAAGGAAGTTCTGGCTACCAGACATTGCTACTGCTTTGGGGTCCTTGTTTTCAATATGAAATTACTCTAGCAGGCCCATGGAAAGAGTTCTAAAGGCATTATATAGATGTGTAATATATAGGTATACTTATTTTACTCATACATATCTTTTTTTCTATGTTCTTCCTTTCATTTTTTTAATGCACATTTTGGCTTCCAGTATGACAGTGATACTGGGCTTTTGGGTGTGCCAGATGTAATTAGAAGTCTCTTTCTAGAAAAAAAAATGTTCTGTTAGAACTAGTTTTGAGAGAATATTCTCTCTGAGTGTTAAATAATTTTGTGATTAATTGCCCCATAATAGTTATGACTATCCATTTCCTCTAGTAGGTTAGGAAGGGAAGTGTTTGAAGGAGAGGTGATTATATCTGGTAAAAAAAAAAAAAAAAGCAGAACAAAATCAGTCTGATGAATGAATAGGCTAATATTAGAGTAAAATAAATGAAAAAACTTTCTCTTCTCTCAACATAGCACTCAGAGAATTCAGTAAGACTGATACAGAGACTTACTTTGCCAACTATATAGAGAAAATATTGCTGATGGTAGGCAAAGTTAGGACTAATTAGTCTCTTTCAACTAAGTTGAAAGCTGTTCTACTAGCAACTGTGAAAAGTCTTTAAATACATGTAATTCTTTTCCTTTTTTATTACAAACACATACACCCACACATGTCTCTATGAGTCTTTGGCTTCAGGTTCTTAGACACAATTACAGCCTGAAGAGTAATTGGTAGCCAAATTTACACTTCAGGTTTCTTAAGAAGGTGTAAATCCTAGTAGAAGTGTGCCTCTGATAAACTTCATGTCTGAAAACTAGAGATTGTATTGTAAAATCCCTGGATTTTAATTTGATAGTAAGTGTTATAAAATAGTGACATTCTAATTTTTCTTTTAAGGAATGGTTTCCATAGACTGGTTTCTTAAGGATTTCATAACTTTTCTTTTCCCTAATGCTAAAACTTTTTGAGCTGCTATCATTTAAAAAATAGCTATAATTTTATTAAGTATGAGTGTCATCATTTTTCAAAGTAATGTTTTCCAAATGTCCTATGAAATAGGTTTATAATTCCTGCAGATAAAAGATATTCTGGAGGGGTTCTACAAATCTTAGCAACTGCAAAACGTTGTCCTCGTGTGTGATATTGTCATTAAGTGACCTAACTAAACTGTAAATTGAGTTATAATGTATTTTCCTTCTTGGGTTTATTAGTGCTTGCAATTTGTTTCAATTTCTGAAAACTTATATACACTACCAGTTTCTGTAACGCTGAGTTTTGCAGATTTAGTGTAATAATCTTCAAATATATAGGCTCAGTCACTTAAAGGCAACGTTGTTAATTATGTTTTATTTTATTTTTTTAATTGTGAATTTAGTCGGTATCTGGTCCAAGTAAAGTAGTGGCTACAGTGTTAGCAGTATAGTTTTAGAGGAACATTCACAGTCAAATTTTGGTTTGAACAATTAGCTCAGAATTTGGTTAAAAGTATATAGAAGATAGTTTCTTTTTGTGCACATACAGAATTTGTCAGAAGAGGAAGCATTTGTTTTTGTTGTACTAGTCATTAAAAGTGAAGGAGATGGAAATAAGTTTCAGTTTCCTTGTTCTTTCCAGACCATATCTATTAATTGATACAATCTATAATTTTTTCTACAATTTACTTATTGTAGAGGAAACATACACAGTGGCTATATTTTCATAATTTGAGGATATATAGAGTATATGGAAATTCCTTGAAGTTGGAGAAAGTAGTGCTTTGTAATTTTTTTGTGGTGATATTGATAGTTGTGCTTTGTGCAGTATCTTAGATCATGTTACCATAATATTTTGAGTCAAAACATCTCATCATTGTAAAGTACAAATACACATGCCTCTAAAAACCACACGGAATGTCATGAAATAATACCCTGGGACTTTTCTTAGGAGACACCAGTTATAATTTGCATCTAGGATTCTAGGAGAAGTGAATTTAACATCTGTTGGTTATGAGCAAAAAATGAGCTATGTAAAACTTGATGGATAATAGATTATATTGAAGAGAATGACAAATATGCTCCACATGCTCTGAAAAAGTATTTAATTGACCTCATATATCAATATGCTTGCCATTGTTGGTGATTTCTCACTATCTTAGTGAATAAGTAGTACTGAAAAGTGTACTCCTTGCTTGGATGTGGAGTAAGCCATACAATTCCAACTGACTTTAGCAAAATACATTGCTAATTCCAGGGATCCTGCTTTGGGGTTATGTCTCCAAAATAAATGCTTCTGCTTTTGCTATTTTTAAGCTGCTCATTGACTCCTCTATAAAGAAATAAAGGAATTAATGTGTGGATTCATCAAGTATAGTTAGAACATTTTGAGTTTTCAATTTTTCGACAGCAATATGGCACAACATAGGCTTTTTATAGGTTGTCTTTCATCTTAACCAGTCCAAAACAGTGTTTTAGAAAAAAAGGAGCAAAAACTAGGGTTTCAGTATTGCTTTTCTAGATAGATAGTAGAAAGCCTAATTTTCTTTGGTTTTAATTTCATTTTCTGTAAAAATATTGAAAATGAATTTGAAAAATTTTATAAAAATTCTAATATGAAAGTCTTCATTGTCATATATTGTTACCTATTTCAGTATGCATGTATGAGTATTAAAATAATTTGACAATGGAATGACTATGTAAGCCTTCCAAAATGTCACTCAAGGTAATATGTAAAGTTAACTGGCTTGAGAAAAATATAATTCATATAAAGGCAATATTCTACATATTACTGTGTAAAATGGACATGGATTTCAATAGAACTTGAGCAAATCCTGCTTTCATGCTCATAATTTAAATCTTCATCAAGTAAAAAAAGCTAAAGATTTAAAATGTTTTTGAGTAGGGAAATTTTTAGATATGGTGATATGGTCTTACTGATATGATAAAAACTTCATATTCTTTGCTTGTGTTTGCTGTTAGTCTTGGATTAAGGCTAGAGGTCTGCAGGTCTTAAAGACTTAGTTCAGTAGTCGAATGTAAGTAACTATATGTTATATAGTGTCCAAATGTGATGATTTAAAAAATATGATAGTACTATTAAAGATCTCATGTCTAGGCTTTTTTAAAATTTTATTTTTGCCTTGTACCTTTGGAAAAATAGTAATGAAATATGAATCATGGTAACAATTCACAGTTATTTTAGCTTTGTTAAACAAAGTAGGCAGGCAACAAACAAACCAAGTTATTTTGCTGTTCAAACTATTATGAGTACAATTTCTTTTTGCCAAATTATTTGTTAAGTCTATAAATCTACGTCTCTCTCTTTTATTTCAGGTATTCCTCGAGTTATGCAATGTAAATTTAGACTTCCCCTAAAGTTAATTTGCCTACCAGGTCAGCCTTCAAAAACTGCAAGCCACAAAATTACTATTGATACCAACAAATCTCCAGTCAGTCTTCTTAGTCTTTTCCCAGGTAAGACTTTTGAAATAACATGCCTGCAGTATAAAAAATGCCAAGAATTTAGAATGGAATCCTTCATCAGCAGATAATGATGGGGTAATTATCAGATAATTGTTAAGTTAGAGTATAAAAATGCCCCAAGGATTTTTCCCTCCTTTGCCTGTTCAAAGGTGAATAGCTTATATTAACAAGGTAGTAAGATGTTCCTTTTAAGTTTGATTAAAATTATTATGATCATTATTTTGCTACAGTATTCAGAAATAAAAACATAAAAAGGTTCTCTTTAGACTGTGACTTTTTTTGATTTGGAATGTAAATAGTTATTATTCATCTTTATTGTAGGTTTTTGGATATATCTGTTCTCTAAGTATATAAATATTATTTATCTTCATAGTAGGCTTTTGTATATGTACCTTTTTAAAGTATATACTTATGTCTCTGAAAAGTAATCTTATAAGTGGATGCTCTTTGTGCTCTTTTATTCTGCTGCCTGCATCAGCTAGAGTGTGGGTGAATGTTCATCCTGTGCCTCTGGTTGTTTAGAATGGTTTTGTATCTAATGCTTCAATATCACAGTGAACATTTGGGGTAATTTGTGACAGTGTGACTTTCTTCAAGTGTCAGTTTTTCTTTCTGAATGGCTTAGAAACTAAAGAGGCTTTGATTGGACAAAACATCCTTAGTAACAAAGATTTTTAGTGTGTCGTGTCATTAACTTCCTTGGTGGTGGGGTAGAATTGAAGAATAAAATCTGGGAATTAAATCAACCATTTTAAACCCTTCATTAAAAATCAGCACTGTTGGCTATGAGATGCATCTTCACCTTTGCATTAGTGGATAAGATTTAGGATACAAACAATACTTCCCCCAAGATTCAGAAATTTATGGTAAGTCAACTTTTGTATTATTAACTAAAGTGGTTAAAATTTATTTTTTATCAATTTGCAGCATTTCAAAAATTTTATTTATATGTAACTAAAAAATCTCAAATATTTAATATTTTATTATAATTATTCTAAAGTGTGAATTGAGTTTGGATATATGGGTGTGTGTGTGTGTGTGTGTGTGTGTGTGTGTGTGTATATATATCCAATATATGTGTGTGTATATATATATGTACTTTCATGTATTATGTATGTGTGTATATATATTGTTAGCAAAATATTTTTTACTTTTTGGGTTCTTTCTTTCTCCCATCTCTTCTCTTCTTTTACCTCCTTATTTTTTAGTCAATTTCTCATAACAAACTTGGATTATGAAAAAGGCAGACTCACTACCTTTTGTAACATCTTGCACAAACTTACTATTTTATTGGGTCTCCTCTACTACCTTAGGAACATAGTTGGAAATTATATGAATAACAGCAAATTTATTGGTGGCTTTGAAAAATGTTTAAGCACCTGACTTCTGAGGAACAATTGATCTTTACTGTAGATAAATGAAACCCAGTTAGAGTTGGAATAAAAATGAGTGCCTTTGAGCAGAAAGGTAATCTCCATGAGATATGATTTGGATCATGTGCACTAAAGAAAGCTTAGATGACTTATCCATTTTCCTTCTGATTTTGGGCTCAATTGTTTTGATATCATTATGCTTATCAACATGTATTTGCTTCTTACCCACTTTAGGAATGAGACACAGTGACAATTTTAAAAAATTTCTTCTGGGGTCCAATATATATGATATGGAGTGGTTTTTTTTTTTTTTTTTAAATTCCTGGATTTGTATTCATGTTAATCATACTGAATGGAATCATGTGCTTGTTTAAAATAAGTATCACTTCACTCTTATAAAAGTAAGACTGAGATAAAATTGCCATTGCAAATTTTCTATTTTTTTAACTGAAAAAAGCAAAATTAATGAGCTTTCTAGAGAAAAAATACATAGAGAAGAAATAAAACAACTTTTACTCAACATGTCTTTCCATTTGTTTATTCCAGTTCTCTTGCTGTGAACAAATACAGGTATAGTTAAAATAGCTTTAACTTTTCTTATTACAAAAGAAATATGAGATTTAGAAAATGTGGATAACCAAAAGGAAAAAAGTGAATGTTACTAGTAATTCTACCATCCAACAATACCTTTTTATGTTTCAGTACATTTTTCTAAACTTTAAAGAAGTACTTTTTCTAAGCATTTGTCCCCAAAAAGAAAAATTTTACTTGCCATACTGTTTTTTTGAGACATCTTTTTACATCATTAGATATTTTCGTTATATGATGTTAATGATTGCATAGTATTCTGTCATAAATCCATACTATAAAATCATTTGACCAGCATTGTGCTTTTAGATATACATGTTGTTTTTAGTTTTTTAATATTATAAATACACCTGTGATGAACATTGTTGTAACAATACTTCTTTAAATGTATTAGTTTATTTGCTGAATATTTAAAAGTGAAATTGCTGGGTCAAAGAAGGAATCAGAATGTTTTTAAAGCTTCTGAAATAAGTGTGAAATTGATTTCCTGAAGGAATACCAGTTAACCCTAACAAGAATGTTTGAATAAAGGTGTCTAATACCCAAATCCTTACCAATAGAGAATATTATAATTATAAAAACCTTTTAATATGTTTAATAGTTACATAGAAAACATTTATTTACATATATAAAAAGCTATCGGGGGTGCTTCTGACACCCCAGAAAAGTGAATTAAGCAATGAAAACTTTTTTGGGACAGTCTCATTCTGTCATTTAGGTTGGAGTGCAGTGGCACAATCATGGCTTACTGCAGCCTCTACCTCCTGGGCTCAAGCAATTCTTTCACTAACCCTCCAGAGTAACTGAGACTACAGGCATGTACCACCATGCCTAGCTAATTAAAAAACATTATTTTGTAGAGATAGGGTCAAACTATGTTGCCCAAGCTGGTTTTGAACTTTTAGGCTCAAGTGGTCTTCCCATCTTGGCCTCCTAAAGTGTTGGGATTACAGGCATGAGCTACCACGCCTGGCCAAGGTATTTCTTTATCTCACATAAAGAGAAATCCAGAAGTGGACGGTGGAAGCTGTGGCAGTTGTTCATGACTGTTATCAAAGAACTAGCATTTCTTCTTTCTTTGTAATCTGCCATCTTTAGTGCGTTGACTTGTTCCATGGCAAGAAAATATTTTTGCTTCAGCTTCAGGCATCATATCTGATTACAAGGTAGAAGGTAGGGGGAAGAAATAGCTATATAGTAATGGTGTTAACTTTTATCAGAAAAGCATGTTTTCAAAAGATTCCCTGGGAAATTCGGTAGCCATAATTTTGTCACATGGCTTCCTCTAGCAGTAAAAGAGGCTGAGAACTAAATGGGCTAGAGAAAAGGTGGCTGGGAACACAGGTTAAATTACCTGACCATCAATGTATGTCATATCAGTAGTTTTAGACAAAAATTTTACTTAAATGTAATTAACAGACAAAGTGTCATTTGATAATAGTCTTTTATGTTGCTCAAGTATATTTCTACATTTGCTTGTCAATATATTCGTATTTTTCTGGTTACATAATATTCCACTATTTGAAGGTGTCATGTAGATACAGTTTTTTTGTACTTCTCTATTTCTCATAGGAGAAATTCTTTGGAGATAAATGCGTGAATTAATGGGTATGAATATTTGAAATCGTTATTCAAATACTAGCTGCTTTCCAGAAAAATTGTATCAGGTTATACTCCCAGCATCAAGGTTTATGCCCATGAAAGCAGCTGGATTCATTACGTCTTTAAAAATTTTTGATATTATTAGGTAAAAAATGACATTTCATTTTTAACTTGCTTTTCTAAATTACTTGTTAGCATAGTTACAATTTTTCTTAACGACTTGCAGTTCTTTTAATTCTTTCTTTTAATGTTTATATTTTTAGGTGTGTGTGTGTGTGTGTGTGTGTGTGTGTGTGTGTGTGCTTCAGTGGTTTACTCTGGATCACAACCACAAGCTGAGTATTTGGTTATGTGGGTTTGAGGCTAGAATTGACATTGCATAGATAATCTGAAATATCTCAAAATGAGTAGTTTTACTTTTAAATGGCTCCAGGTTTGTAGTGATCACAGGAACCTGGAAGTAGCAAAATTAAATGCTTTGTGAGTTTAATTGTTAAGTATTTGCTTTGAGGAATGTCGTAATTTACTTGACTTGATATATATAAGCTATAACGAAAAGATAAATACAAACATTTGTAAAAATTTAGCAAAGAAAATTATTTCAGATGTGGATGTTGTAAAAGTATTTGCCTCAATTTTCATGTCAGTTTTGAATATGGAAGGAAGAAAATTTTAAAAGAATCGAGGGAAATAGCATGAGAAATATAATTATATTTATCAAATTAATCATCCAAAAAATGGGGCCTAAATTATCTTTAGAGCCTTTCTCTAATTTCATGTTGAGTTGATTTGGGAGAGGAATATCCCACATCTAGCTAGTAAAATTTCTTAATTGCTTTCCTCATAGTTTCAAGTTTTCATGTTATGCTAGGAATGATCTCTGTTCTAAGATTATAAAATATTTACTTATTTTTTTCTGATAGATTTTTATGTTTGTTTTATTTGCAAACGCAGCTTCAATGAATTATTTTTATGCCTTTTATAAAGCTTATTTGAAGTATAACTTTTGTACAATAAATTACACATTGAAGTATATAATTTTTAAAAGTTTTGATTTCTGTATTTATCTGTGCAACCATCTCAACAGTTAAGATGCTGAACGTATCCATCACTGCCAAAAGTTTCCTTTTGCCTATGAGTAATCCCTTATCCTGCATCCCAAGCAACTACTGATCTGGTTTCTGTTACAGAGATTAACTTGCATTTTCTAGAATTTTATAAAATGGAACTATTACAGTATGTGTTCTTTTTCATCTGTCTTCTTTCACTCCTTTATTTGATATGTGATTTGCAAATAATCTCTCCCAGTCTGAGGGATGTATTTTCATTTTCTTAACAGAATCTTTGGAAAAGCAGTTCTTAATCTTGATAAATGCCAGTTTATCAATTTCTTAATGAATCATAATTTTACTGTTATATCTAAGAAATCTTTCCTAATTCAAGGTTACAAAGTTTCTCTCTTTTTTTGGTAGAAGTTTTCTAGTTTTAAACTTTACATTTAAATATCTTCTTATTTTGTGCTGATATTTACGTGTGGTGTGAGATACGGGTGAAATTCATGTTTTGCCTCTGGGTGTCTAATTGTTAAAGCACTATTTTTCAAAGACTGTCCTTTTCCACTGAATTGACCTTTCAACTTTGTTGAAAATCATCTGATCACATTTATGTGGGTGTATTTCTGTTTTCTTAATTTTGTTCCATTGATCTCTTTGTCTGTTGCTATACACTAATAACATTGTGTTTTGGTCACTGTAAATTTATAGTAAGTCTTGAAGTCAAGTAGTGTAATTTCTCCAACTTTATTCTTCTCAAAGTTGTTTTGGAGATTTTAGGTCCTTTGCATTTTCATATGAATCTTAGAAACACCTTGTAAATTAAACAAAACTGGCTGTTGGGATTTAGATTGGAATTGGGATTATATCGATTCCATAAATCAATTTGGAGAGAATTGATATTTTAACAATATTGAACATGGTATAAATTTCTCTTTTTATTCTAGTTTCTTAAGATGAAAGTGCAAACTGTCATTCATTTATTTATAGCCTATTTTGTTTCTCTCTGTGAGGGTTTGTAGTTTTTCATGTACAGGTTTTACACATATTTTGTCAGAATATCCCTATTTCACTTATTTTTATGTTATTGTGTTTTATTTCAATTTCAAACTGTTCTTTGCTAATACATAGAAATACAATTGGTTTTCCTTTCTTTTGAGATGAAGTCTCACTATGTCATCCAAGCTGGAGTGCAGTTATATGTTCTTGGCTCACTGCAACCTCTGCCTCCTGGGTTCAAGCATTTCTCCTGTTTCAGCCTCCCATGTAGCTGGGACTACAAGCACACGCTACCATGCCTAGCTAATTTTTTATTTTTAGTAGAGACAGTATTTTACCATATTGGTTAGGCTGGTCTCGAACTCCTGACCTCAGGTGATCCACCCTCCTCGACCTCCCAAAGTGCTGGGATTACAGGTGTGAGCCACCATGCTTAGCTACAGTTGATTTTCTTATATCAATCTTTTATCTTGCAATATTGTTAAATAACTTGTGGGGCTTTTTAAACTTTTTTGTAGATTTAATCAGTCAGTTTTCTATATAGCTCATCATGTTATGTGCAAATGAAAACAGTTTTACTTCTTCCTTTCCAATCTGGATTGTTTGTTTTTGCTTGCTGTTTGCCTTGGCTAGAACTTCTGGGACAATGTTGAATATAAATGGTAAGAACAGACATTGTCTTTCACTATTAAGTATGTTTTAGCTATAAGCAGTTTTTAGATGTTTTTTAACAGGGTGAGGAAGTTGCCTTCTATTCCTAGGTTGCTGAGATTTTAATAAGGAGTGGATATTGCATTTTTTTTTCAAGACTACTTCCACGTCAGCTGGGACATTCTTATCATTTTCTTCTTTATTTGGTTAAATATGGTAAATTACATTGATTAATTTTTAATGTTAGACCAGCCGTGCATTCTTGAGATAAATCATAGATGGTCATGAAGCATTATCTTTTCACTATATCTTTAGATTTAATTTGCCAAACTGTATTTTAGAATTTCTATTTCTAAGTTCATGAGAGAAATTGATCTGTAATTTAGTATTTTTTTCCATAGTTATGTGACTAATTTTTAGTCTGTTCAACATTTTATGTTTTGATGTTATGAGTTTCTTATATCTGGATATTTCTACTTTTCTCCAGATTTGTAAGGTTTGCTCTTATTGTTTTTCTTGATACTGTTCCATAAATCTTACAGGCTTTCTTCTTTCCTTTCATTCCACCACCCAACCCCCATATTCTCTAATAATCTGACTTTGAGTTCACAGATTCTTTCTTCTGCTTGATCAGTTCTACTTTTGATGTCTGTCGTTTTGTCCGTCCTTCCTTCCTTTTTTCCTTCCTTCCTTCCCTCCCTCCCTCCCTCTTTTCCTCCCTCCCTCCTTTTCTTCCTCCTTCCCTCTCTCCCTTCTGTCCATCTTGCTCTGTCATCCATACTGGAGTACAGTGGCATTATCATGACTGACTATAGCCTTGACATCCTGGGCTCAAGCAATCCTCTGACCTCAGCCTCCCAAGTAGCTGGAACTACAGGTGCATACCACCACACTTGGCTAATTTTCTTATTTTTTGTAGAGACAAGGTTTCACTTTGTTGCTCAGGCTAATCTTGAACTCCTGGGCTCAAGTGATCTGCCCGTCTCGGCCTCCCAAAGTGCTAGGATTACTGGTGTGAGCCACGGTGCTCAGCCATTTTAATTTCATTCATTGTATTTTTTCAGCTCCAAAATTTGTTATTCTTCTAAGTTTTTTGAACTGTTTCTCTCTCTCTTGTTTTTTCCGGTTTACCAAGCTTCCTGAAAACAATTCTTTTGAATTCTTTGTTAATCTGTAGGTGTCCATTTCTTTGGGGTCAGCCACTGGGAAATTATAGTGTTCTTTTGGTAGGGATATGTCTCCTTTGTTTTTCATGTTTCTTGCTGCCATACTTTGATGCCTGCACATTTGGTGGATCAGCCTCCTCTTTCCAACTTCGTGTGCTGATTTTGGTATGGAAAGACCTTCTTTGGGACGGTCAAGGCTGCTGGCAGTATGAGGTGTAGAGGTCCTGGCCCTGGCAAGGGCCTAACAATGTAGACTGTGTGCAGCTCTCTTAGCTGGGGTTGGTGTTGGTAAAGATTGCAGGTATCCTCAGTTGCCAACTCAGTGAGTATTCTCAGCGATAGTGAGGGCTATTGGGATCTTTAGCAGTAGTGGATACTAGGGTACTTCCAATCTCTTTCTGTTCCACCAGTGAAATCATGGCCAGGGGATCCCCCTTGGCACTCTGACTGGCATGTGGGCCAGTTTCCAGTGCCTGGTGAGTGGCACCTATGGAAATGCCATGGAGCCAAGTCCTGAAGCATGGGCATGTGTAAAAGTACTTTGGCTCTGGGCTTTGGGTGGTAAAGGCACCAGTACCCAGAGCACACAGGAACCTGCATTACTCTGTTGGTGATGGTATGTGAGGTATTAGTGTTTATGAAACAGCTGGGGAGCCCAAGAAGGGAGCATGGATTTTGTTACTTTAGCTCTAGGGTACAGAATGGGGCCTTGTCATCTATGGCAGGTGATGTAATGACTGAACTACCGGAACATGCAGAGAGACCTTAGCTCTAGGACCTCGGGTGTGAGCTGGCTCACTATGGTAGCTCTGGTATCTGAGACGTGGTTGGACATAGTGCAGCCACAGAGCCAGTGTCTGAAGTATGCACATTCCTGAAGTGACTGTGGCCTGGGGGTTAGGGGAATGTGCAAGGTCTGGAGAGGCGGTGGTTTTGGTCCTGGGGTGATACAACAGCAACTACTTCTTGAAAAGGGAATGTAGGGCCTTGCCTTCCTCTCTGGGGTTCCCTGGTAAAAATGGCTGTTGGTTATCTCAGTGGCAAAAGATGCTGGTGTTTTCTGTGGAGCAGGCTGCTGGGAACCATGCAAGTTCCCACTCCATGGCTGTCACCAATAGCCTGTTGCCTTTATTCTTTGTCACTAGCCATTTGTAGGCATCTTAGGCATATTGATACAACGAGCCATTTGTTGTGTATTGCTGGAGCTTCTCAAAGGGGCCCTTGAGCTCTTACAGGGCTATTCTGGTTTTTAAATAGCTGTCTTTCTCTCACTCTATTTTTTGCCAGAGAGAAAGACTAGTGTCCCCTACTTTACCATCTTGGTGACATCCTTTACCACTGCGATGATGTTTAATATTTCTTTTGTCTGTCAAGTTGTTTGTAAATTGGATCTAGAGCTAGTAGAGTCAAGATTATTTTGACCGGAGTTCTTCATGGGTGGTAGTATAGACTTTCAGCAGAGGTTACATAATATTTGTCTTCTTTTGTGTCTGGTGGTAACAGCCATTGGTATTCAATGCTGAGATCCATTAGTTCACTATAGGCTGAAAAATAGATAATCTATTGCTTTCATACTTTCTTCATTTTTTAGCTGGAATATTTCTATACAGAGAACCTTTCCTTTAACTAATAGTGGTTATATGGTGCAGCATGAGTAGGGTCTTCAGGAAAAATGCTTGGTTCTTTCCCTTAATTACTATTTTTAAAAATATTTTAAATAAATAGAGTTTAAAATAGATAATGTCAATTCTCTGGGATCCTTCAATAGTGACTATTTGTTATTTTGTTTTTAAGTCTCTATATGAATTTATGCTTTTAAACATATTTGATGTGTTTTACTCCATTGCAATTATTATTTTCTTTTATACCCAAATATTTTTATCTCTGGCCAGTAGTAGTCTCTTTAAGCTGTCTTTCAAGTCGTTTTTATAAAACCCTAATGGTTCGCTGATGGCTTCCTTGCTATCTGGTGTGAAAAGATATTCTAGGTTCGTCTTGTGCGTATTCTGTCTCATATTTGGAATCAACCATTAGAACAAATGAAATTAAATGATTACAGAGTTTTATTGTAAGGCAGAAGTTTCATTAATTGGAAGCTACTATGGAAATCAAAGTTAATATATTATAGTTCACACATGGAGTTTATACATGACTAGTGACATAAAAAACACCCATCATTCAACTAAGGTTTCTATTTCAAATAAGTTAATTTTGCCTTCTGGTTACATAAGGTGATTTCTCTCTTTTCTTTATAGGCTTTGCCAGTCAGTCAGATGATGATCAGGTGAATGTAATGGGTTTTCACTTCTTAGGAGGTTCCCGAGTTACTCTTCTTGCTTCCAAAACTTCTCGTAAGTAAAACCATGTTATTACTGCTTTTCAAATTTTTTTCTAAGGCTACCACATCACAGAGCATCCTCACATCAATGATTCCTGCAAAGCACAATGTTCAGTTAGATTTCAGTAAATAAAAGCCATATTAAGTGTATAGGATGTAGAAGTTGTGAAGTTAGGATTGTGTTTTATTAGAGAACACTGATGTTGCCATGATTACTTTACCATGATCTAGGTTTCACCAAAAATCAGATATGTAACTGATATATTCACTTTATCTGAGTGTATGTAATTTGGTCTTGGAGCTAAGGAGAGTCTGAGAGAGGAATTTAAAGAAATGAAAAATATTTTTGAGATAAGTATATGATGAACTAGGTTTGGGAACTCCTAAAATCTGTAATTTTTTTTGTTTGCATATATTCTTATTTATTCCTTTTAGACATTGGAAAAGATGACAGTGAAAGTAGATAACTTTTGCTCAGTGTAATTTCAATAGGCAGAAAGATAGTAACTGTATAGTCAAGTTTGAATTTAAATATGCTTTATTGATTTGGTTGCTTTATGTATGTGAAAATAATTGCTGAAACTAGTCAGTGTACAACTGGCTCTTGAAGTTTATGGTATACTGAAGCTACAGAACTTACTGAGTTATACACACCTTCATGGAAATAAAGTAAGATATTAAGAAAGGAAGTGTTTAACAAATTTGTATTGAGGGGAAAAAGTACACATACACATGTACATACACACACACACACACACCCCCTTCACATAATCTGACTCAGGATGTTCCAATTTTAAACTTTAGTTTTTCTGTGAGCTTGCACTTTCTACCCATGTACTTGCAGTTGTAGTTGGTTATTACTTTTCTAATAATAAGAGTACAATAAGGCCATCTGTTTTTGAAAAAGAAAGATATTAGGAGGAACAGAGATTCCATTTAGAAAGTCTAACAGTGTTTTTATGGCTAAAACAATAGTTTCTGGAATATGTCAATTGGTGACTGGTAAAATAGACTCGAATACTACTGAAGACTGTAATAGGTCACAGAAATAAAAAACAACTCTGAGAAGAAAGAGAAGATTTTTTTATTTTCATTTGTTTTTTTGCGATTGGTCATGATTGCAGTATTCTTTACATTGGCACCGTCTTTTTAAAAAAACAAATCATTTTATTTTGATAAGAAGATTTAACCTGAAATCTACTCACTTAACAAAATTTCAGATGTATAGTACAATATTGCTAACTGTAAGTACATAGCTCCATTTTGCTTTGATTAGCTTTAATCTCCATTTGGATGGTAGAACCATTTTGGTGCATTTCTCTTAGTTTAACAATTCTCCTTAGTTAAACTAAAAAAGTTGTGCTAATATTTCTTTGGGAAATTGTACCCATTTGTTTGACTGCAGTTGATGGTGCTGTATAATGAATCTGCAATTGAGACCATTAAAAAAGGCAAAAATTTGTTTATACAAATGAAGATATTTATATCCTAATGTATTTTGTTTATAACTTTGAGTAAAAGTAACAAGCAGAACACTGATATTGCCCACTATTACCTTACTGCTATCTAAATTTTACCAAAATCAAGTATATAGCTGATTTACTCTCTTTATCTGAATGTATGGCAATTCTCTGACTTAACCATAGTGTTAGGTAGACAAAATCAAATAATGGAATAGGACAGGACCTTTTAAACCAGGAGCCAAATGAACTGTATAAATTGATACCTGAATAAAAGTCATTATGATTCTATGGTGGTTTTTGGCTTCAGTGACACACAGAATCCTACCTAGGAGGTGCCTTTGATGATGGAGAGAGATAGATATAATGAGAGTGTGCTTTTCTGGGGTTGAGGCAGACGTTAGTGCTCCTATTGCTTTATCAGAGTATTCATTCCTAAGAAAGGAATGAAGTAATTTGTATCTAACCTGTGTTTGACATTTTTTATTTTCTGAAAGATACCTAGTATTAATTTACAGTCCAGAATCTGATTTACAAAAAAATCTTACAACTGGAAAGAACCTAGTATTTCTTCCATAGTAAACAGTCAAATGATTCATAAGCCAAATAGAATTGTCCTGGGCTCTTGTATAGTATTTTCTGTGGGTTCCACATATTCATCTCTTTTTAAAACTTGCTTGGTAATCAACCAAGGCTTCATGTGTGCTGTATGGCAATTTTAGTTCATTTTTCTGATTCAGTATAGACCAGTCAAAGCAGACAAGAGAAAAGTAAAGTATAGCTCATTGTCTCAGATACCAAACCACATTCCCTGGGGAACTGAGTAGGATTTTATTTTTAGAAAGCAGAATACTAGTTGCGGGTAGTGGCTTACACCTGTAATCCTAACACTTTGGGAGGCCAAGGTGGGAGGATAAGTTGAGACTAGGAGATTGAGACCAGTCTGGGCAACATAGCGAGGCCTAGTCTCTACTTAAAAAAAAAAATTAGCTGGGTATAGTGGCACATGACTGTAGTCCAGTTACTCTGGAAGGTGAGGTGGGAGGTTGAGCCCAGGAGGTTGAGGCTACAGTGAGCTGAGATTGCATGTACTGCACTCCAGCCTGCACAACAGAGTGAGACCCTGTAAGAAAAAAAAAAAAAGGAAAGTAGTGCTTCAGTTTGGGAAAAATATGCTAGCAACATTTCTGAAAACTGTTAACACAATCCTAAATTGAAAATAACAGGGCAGGCAGTTCTAATTTTGTAAGATAAATGTTTTTATAATTAATGTTGCAAAATATTTCTACGTAGATGTCTATAATTTCGAGTGATTCAGTATAAAGAGATTTCAGAAGAAATATGCTATTACGTAAATATGTATATATTCTTATGCTGCTTTCCTAAGATCCAGATCCACATAGTGACTTATTACCGTATACATCAAACGCTGCTACCTCTCTCTCCCCAGTCTCTCCTGTCCCTTTCTGCTTCTATATTTTTCTTGGTCTTGCCTATCTCTATATCTGTTTTTATCTTTATTCTCTATTTGTACATTGCCTTGTTCTACTTGCTTCTTAAATAAGTTAGAAGAGTTTAAAAATATCTAAAATATGAAAAGAATATATAAGTATTTCAAGAACCAGAAAGAGAAAATCAGGATAGGAAACTAATAGAGGTAGAAATGAGATTAATACTCAGAAATGCATACTGTATGATTAAAAAGGTACTAGCCACCTAAAATAACAAGAAATCATTTAGTTTCCGTTTTCGGAATGTTCAATCTTTTGTTGAGGAGATGCACACCCTTTACTGATGCTGAGTCAAAGATGAAGTTTTCCTTATGAATATTCAAAAAGACAATTCCTTAAATATCTCTATACTTTATATTTTATAATTATAAAGTTTATGCTTATGTAATTATTTGTAACAAATTTCACTAAATAGAGTGAAATTTGTTATTTAGTAAATATAATTTACTATTTAGTAAATATAATTCTACTGAGCCCAAATCAGTGCAGTCTAAGCTGCAGCCTAATCCAAGGATACATTTTGGGTATCTAATTTTGCAAGTTTTCATTATCTAGTGTTTTCAGTAAGGATTGAGCAGCCAATTTCAATAACTCAGAATTGAGAAGTAGGATGAAAGAGCTATGGATTTTGTTTTTAAATAAACAATATTAGAACACATTTGAGTATTAATTGATTGAGTTCAGTGGGAGAGGTTGATGATCAGGAAAGAGAATCAGATCATAAAGCAATGAAGTCCTCGAGGAAGAGAGAGGCAATGGGATGCAGAAGCTAGCGGGAGGGGTTGAGGAATAGGCCTTTGTAACTTCTCTGTAACGGGAGGAATCGTATGTACATCTAGGGAGACTTTGTAGATTTGTTAGTGGAGAGATAAAGGAGGTTTGATGATCTATAAATCTGAAAAAAGTATGAAAATAAGAAAGCAAACTCATGAGGGAAACAGGTATTGTAGAATTCCCATCTAGAGTTTGAGATCCTAAATTTTGAACTGAAATCAGCCATCCTTGTTAGGTGATTTCCCCTGGAAGTAATTTGTTTATCAGCATCTAAGCAACTAAAAGCAGGGTTCAGATTTTAAAACAGAGAATTACAGATAAAATGTTTTTATGAGACTGATTACCATAATGGACTACCAAATCTGATATGGTAAGGAAGTAAGTGAAGATTAGAGAAAACTGATACATGCTGAAAAATTAATGGGTTCACCTGATCAAATTTCTTGGAAGTTTGAAGAAGTAAAGTAGTAGGAGTTATAGAGCAAGTGAACTAGGCGTTAAAAAAAAATGGTAGTGGTCAGAGAGTGGATCAGATGTTGAGAATAAGAGTTCAGAGAAATTGCAGATCCTGATAATAACAAGCTCGTTATTGGGGTAGTGGATTGCTAAAATCGAGAGAAGACCAATGGCAGACAAGGATTTAGAGGAAATGAGGTATGGATATTGTGGATATTGAGTTGTGGATATTGAAAAGGCCTATTTGTATTGAGGTACATTCCTTGTATAACTAATTTATTGAATTTTTTTTATTATGAAAGGATGTTGAATTTTGTCAGATGCTTTTTCTGCATCTATTGAAATGATCATATGGTTTTTGTCCTTCATTCTGTTAGTATTATGTATCATGCTTATTGATTTGCTTATGTTTAACCATCCTTGCATCTCTGGAATCAATCCCACTTGATCATGGTGAATGATCTTTTTAATGTGCTGTGTTGAATTTGGTTTGCTAGTATTTTGTTGAGAATTTTTGCATCTTTGTTGATCAGGGATATTGGCCTGTAGTTTTCTTCTTTTATTATGTCCTTGTCTGATTTTGTTATCAGGATAATGCTGGCCTCACAGAATGAATTTGAAAGTACTCCATTCTTTTATATTTTAAAATAGTTTGAGCTGAATTGTTATTAGTTGTTTAAATGTTTGATGGAATTCAGCAGTGAAACTATCAAGTCCTGGGCTTTTCTTTGGTAGGAGACTTTGTAGAACTGATTCAGTCTTCTTACTCATTATTTGTCTGTTCTGTTTCTTCCTAGTTCAATCTTGGTAGG